TGCTTTTGCTGCTTATACCACTTGTCTGTCTTCTTACAGAGGCATGAAAATGGCAAACAGGCCATATACAAAATCTTCAGACTATATCATCTACCTTTTCCTTTTAATTTTCTCTATTATAAAATACAACTCTTTTTTTATCAGAAAAAAACTTGGAACTATTTGCTTATGTTTAAAATGCTGAAACATCTGATGTGCTTTATGTAAACCTCTATCATTGAATAAAAGCATTTTAATTCTAAAACTCCACTTTTATTTCTTCCTTGGCACTTATTCTAAAATATACATAATTTCCCCTTACTGTAATTAAATCAGTTAATGTTAAATTCTCTTAATATGATTGAGGAAGATTAGATTAACTGTCCTGTATTAGAACTAACTTCTTTTAATCACATGTCACATATTACTTTGAAAAATAATTTTGAATGGCAAATCTGTTATGCCGTATTTATGTTTTCAAGAATAAAATAATAAATTAACAGAATTACTATCTTGTAAATCCAATGTAAGAACTGGGATTACTTTCCTAATCTAACTTTCAACACAGCATTTCAAGACATATTAAAAGCTGTTACTTTCCTCTTCCCCTTCCCCTTCCTGAATTCACACTCATTTCCAGTTGTTCCATACCTCCTTATCTCCTGCATCAACACAAATCTGAAACTGTTTTTGAACTACAGATAAAAATGTAAGAACTAAGAAAAGTGTCACTCGCAAAATTTTGGAAGAAAAATGCATTTGAAAACCAACACAGATCTGAATACCAGAACAATCATTCTTCTTTACCCTTCAGAGGACATCTGAAAGTGGATTAAGAGGTATACATTTTGTATTTCGGAGATCCAAAGGGTCCACAGAGAAATTGTCAATCTTGTGTGTTATATTTTTCTGCTATTCCCTCTTAATAGCATGACTCACTCAGCCTCAAATTCACACTGATCTTCCTTTTATCACTGCTTATTGACTTCTCTCTCCAAAGAAAAAAGCACAGCGAATGTGTAGTTATGACTTGCTTCCAGTGCAACTGACCTTTAAGAAATATCCTTTCAAGAAGGAGCAGACCTTCTGCAGAGAGAGGTATGAAGGTTCAAAATGAAGAATAGACTGAAACATATAGTGTTTCACTTCTTTCCTAAAATTCTTTGTTATTTTTATCATATCCTAAGACATGAGTTATCTAACCTAGAAGCACGCAGAAAGTTCAAGAGAAAGGTAAACTATATCAACCATGACAACTGAGAAATGTTAAAGTTTGCAGTCCCATAGCCTAAGTTTTTCTAGATTTCTTCAGGAGAATCTTCATTCCTCTGAGCTGGTGCATTAGGTACCCAATTCCTCACCAGGCCATGGTGCATTCACTAACCCTGCCCCTTTCTGCATTCACAACTATTTTTTTCATTGGAAAAATTTACATCAGAGACATGCAAAAGACAAAAGGTCTCATGTAGCTCAAAGCTCAGTTCTGTGCATTCAAGTTACTTATTTTACACAAGGATATTTTATCTCGTTTATTCAAATTTCCACAGATTCGGCATTGCACACCCTCATGCAGATAAACACACGCATGCTTGCTATTGTAGATGAATAGTCATTCTGAACTAACATAGCTAGATACTACTGATTATTGGGAAACCAAATAATTCACATTTTCAAGAAATACTCCCCAGATAATTCATAGTTTTGGAAAAAGAAGTCACTGTGGTGTTAAATTCTTTAAAGATATCTTTTTAAATACAAAACCATTTTTTTGAGTTCTTTCTTCAGGGAAACATACCCTGAAACATTGAAACCTTACCCCAAGTGCAACAGCAGTGAACCATTTCAATAAACTGAGAACCACAGAAAATACTTATCATCTACAAAAGTATAATTTCTTGTTTCTGCAATAACCTCATTTTTCCACGACGTGTGTTTTGCCATATATAAAACCCTTCTGCATATGGTTAATATGGATTAATTTTATATTAATTTTTCCAATCTCCAAATGACATTTTCTTAGGGAAAAGAAATAATGTCTGAGGAATGGGTATATGTTTGATATTAAAATATAATGGTGATTTGTTGTCCTGACGCTTGCTGTGTAACAGATGATGGCAGTGAATTAATCCATCCTCTTGACAGTCATTTCATGATAAGAATAAGAAACCTTACCATTTTCATTGCAGGCCTACCCTATTCTTGTCCTCAGTGTGCATTTCCATGACAATGACTGTGATCATTATAACAGCATTGTACATAATGACTCTGCTTTCTGTGATGTTACTCCCAAATTGAGTGTGAAAAATGTGAAAGGACAGATCTCAAATGGCAAAACTCTCACCAGTGAAGCAGAGTAGTCTACAGAATTAATAATTGACAGAATTGAAACCATGCTGCCACCGAACAGAAGCCTGGAATTAAAGGGCACTACCTTCTTTTATAAATGGAGATACTTTGCATGAAAATCACTTGTCAAATTAAGGGTACATAGAATGAGACCTTGATGGGGTGTGTACAGTTAATTGCAACATTAGTAAAACATCTATTTTTCAAAATGAAAAGGAGCTCGTGCATAATGACCATTACAGAAATTTTGCTAATTACTAATATTATGACAGCCTCACCCTTTTTTTCTTAATATAAATATATGCCTGAGCTAATATGATTGATCTTTGTTGTAAATCAGGTCATCAGAATCATCACAACAAATGGAAAATAGAGTACAGTTGTTTTTAAGTTCCACAAAGGTTTCGCAAAGATAAGCTTGCTAATGTTGTAAAGTACTTAGAGCAGAAAATTGGAATTCTTTGAGGAAAAGGGGGGAAAAATCTCTCAGTACAGAAGAAGGAATGTCCTCGAACAAGGCATACAGTCACATTTTGACCACAAAGGACTGAAAGGAACTCTATTGATTGATCTCTGTAAATGTAGCATTAATAGAGCAGTCAGAGGATGAAACGAAATACATAATGCTATCATAAGAACATAAAATTGAAAGGGATCATGCTTTAGCTCACTGAATCCAGACCTCTGTTCTGGCATGAAATCATGTCTATAAATGCTTTCATAAAGACACGCACACTTAACTTTGAAACCCCTTCAGCTTTTTTTTTTTTTTTTAATTCTTCCTATTAGTAGACTCTTTCAGAATCTGAATTATTCTTGTTTCCATATAAAGTAAAATTTCATCAACTTAAATAGCTTTCCTCTTTTCATTGTGGTTTCTTCTGAGGTGTATTATAATGTACCCTCTCTATTATTTATGGGAATAATTAAACAAACATATTCTCCACTACCATTTTAACCATAGTATTTAATTTTCTCTGTATAGCTTCATATATAAATCCATTTTTCTTGAACAAAAGTAGCCAGTACAGTAAATAGGTTAACATTATTTTGCACAATGTCTTCAGTACTACTTTATCCCTGGTTTTTTATTATCTCAGCTTTTGCAGCTTAGTATCATACCTTCTTTCAGGTATGACATTAGAGGCAATGTTTGATCTGGTAACCAGACCCTTCTCTTTCTCTGTCACTTACAATAAACCACTAGTGTATAACATAAATTCATTATATTGTTTTGTAAGAGCCTTATAACCTTGTAGTCCTGAGGTTTACTCTATGTTTCTATATCCAAATCATATTCATGATATCTAGCTCTCTCCAGACAATGTTTTATTCTCCTGCATAGCGTTACATCAGCAAGTTGTTTGCAATATGTTTCTTCTACTCCAAAATCATTAATGAAAATGTTAATCAGTCTAAGGTGGATCTGGACGGATAACTCCTTGTTCCCTCACCTGTTTTAAAAGCTTCTCTTTCAATGCAAATCATTAGCTCCATTTAGAAAGGTCCTTTCTCAGTTTACATTTCCTGCACATATCTCAACAATTTTTGGTGTGCTGAAATACTTGGTATTTTACTAAGGCTGGTGTAACTGAATAAATACTTTTTTTTTTGTCTTTGTGTTAACAGTAGCTTAAATACAGTTGCTTCACTTGCTATTTTTATTTCAGATGATACTGTTCAAATTTGAAAGCCCTCACTAACAGCCATCTGTGATTCAGAAGCTACTGGTTTCCTTGGATGTTTTTCTTACTCTACAATGTAATTTTCAGGATTCCCCATTAGAAGGTAAACTAAAAAGAAGTAGTTCCTTTACCATGTCCACCTTTCTTTATGCCTCATATTAAATGTCTTTCTCCATTTCTATTAAGGAAATTAAGACTTATTTAGATTATGTAATAAAAAAAAATCTATCATAATGCTGCAAGACAGAATTCAGGGGGAGAAAATACTCCTTCTGTCATACACCATGCCTTAAAGCTACACAGAGAGTTTTGCATTATTTTAATGCAAATTTAAAACCCAAGCTATACAGACAACATTACACAACGAGGTTTCAGTTGGCCAGGTTTCAGTTCAACTACATCAGCCTGATCTTTTTGTCTGAAGCTCTCTCTATACATGAAAACATAAATGCAGGGCTTGTTCTCAAAGACTTCTGAGGAATTCTAACTAGTAACACACCTTGTGCCTCTTTTTATGAAGGAAGTCACAGAGAATTTCCTTTTGGAGGAGACCTTTTCCACCCTACAGTCAGAGTGGAATGAACACCCTATGGAGCCTAGACTGTATTTGTAATATTCTTTTAAGCAGAACTGAATATAATTCTGAAATAGTCTGGAAAAGCCTTTAGCTATGACCCTATGCATTGGGGGATCTGGAAACTGATGTAACGGCCTCAACGGCACTCACTTTGTGTTTAGCTGAGCTCAGAAGCAAAGCTGTTTTATCATATTTTATTATCCTCACCCTATATTCTTTTGTAATTTTTTTTCTTTATAATAGTATACAACACAGTATACAACTGGCAAGTTCAACGTGAATGTACGTACCAATCTAAGAGGTACATCCTCCTTTAAAAAAAGAGGTACCATCTAGAGTTTTCCTCTATCAATGACATAGTTCAGAGAATGGGAAAAAACAAACCAAAACCAAAAAAAAGACAATGACCTTACCTTTCCTACATACTGAGGATCTGGTCCCATATGTTCTTCTAAAACAAAGAACTGATTCCACACCCATCCACGCTTGGGACGATGATGCACTTCTGTTTCGCCTTCTATGTGTTTGGTTTGATTTCTAGTCACCTTGATGGAGCCATGGTGAGCAGCTCCATAACACCTCTGCACAAAACAGAGACAAACTAGGACTGGGCAGATACAAGATGTAATTCTCATTGTAGGACAAGCTTCCTGTTCAAGGTTTTCTTTCTCTTGTCTTTTTCAGCTGTAATCCTTTAATAAATTCCCGAGACAGAAGGTGAAGCCTGGTTCAGAAATACAGTCCAAATTGGGGTTTTCCTCTTGTTCATTGTTTAGCTGCCCATTTGGGAAAGTTCAAATTATATTTACATTATGAAAAGCTGACTGGAAAAATTGATATTTCTTCCGAGGTCTTCACAATAGAGTTCCACAGCCGGCCATTTTCTATCTAATAGAAAAAAAAAGAAAGCCACTTACTCATCACTAAAACCAGTAATTTTCAGGTTTCTGACCTACACTCAAAGCTGTACTAACCAGTCAGTCAAAGACTGTAATTGGAATTAAAATTTCTTTTCAATCCTTCCTGTAAAAGTTTTTCCTGATTGTTTATGTTAAAATACCTCTAAGACTTAGCACGGCTCCTTCAAGCTATGAAAACACTCACATCATTAAAACCTGGATGATTCAGGACAATTCCTTTGGCCTTTACATGCAAATGATTGACATGGTCTGGCAGTAAAACAAAATCTCTTCTAAAGTGTCATTAGGCAGTGATTGGTAAATCGTTTCACATGAGGTTTTGATGTTCCGTATGCCACACAGATACTCAACTTGACGAAAAATACCTAGTCTATAACGGGTTTTGAAAGAAGGCCTCCAAAATGGGATTTGAGGATTCTGAGTCAATACTAGGGCATATTGACAGGAACTTTCAGTCAAAATGTTTATTTTTACACCTTGTGCTTTACATAAATTTCAACCAACATCACACTGGACCTTCATAAAATTATGTCATACTGACAGAAAATTCATATACTGTCGTTTAGATGATCAGTATTATTCCCAGTGACAATATTCATTCAGCCTCAAAAAAGGAAAACGTAACGTTTTATACTACAATAGTAAAATATAAATATGTATGTGGAAGTTGATGTAGCGCTTAAAGCAAAGTACCTTGAAAGGAGTAAAATAATTCTTCAAACTTAGAGAAACAGTTACCTTAAGGTAACCATTTGCTCAGTTACCTCAAGATATCAAAGATCAATCAGTCCACCAGGAGTCTGAAAACATGCAAACAAATCTATGAAAAGTGGAATCTTCCGATACTGATTTTGTTGAGGTATCTTAAAGCCATTACAAGCTACGTAAACAGAAACACAATGAAACTAATTTTGTTTCTAAGTTTCATGGGAACCCAACAGAATAAATTCATAATTTCTAAAGAAGAAACAAACTAGAAATTAGAAATCAGATGGAAAAATACTGCAGTGGAAGGAAATTTATTAGCTGTATTTTGGCTGCAGATTTTTTGACCTTATGCTTCTTTCAAGTCCATATTAATAACAGAAGCCTGGAACTTTTAACTAAGAACAGTTTCTCATCAGAATAATGGAAGAATACTGTTGCACATTAGAAATAACCAGAAAGCATATATTTTCCACTGCTAATATCCGGTTCAGGACAGCGAGTTTTGCTGAACTAAAGGAAGAACTCCAGTCTCTTGTGGTTGTGTGGCAGCTCAAAAAGAAACTCTGTACAACTGAGGAAAGAAATTTGTACACATTTAGTATTTCCCTGCTACTTATTTCCATAACAATGTAATCTCCCCTCAACCCCTATGAAGACCAAGATACTGTTGTCTTAAAATCCTCACATTTTATCTCAGAACAGATTCATACAACACGAGGAATATTATCTCCTTTAAGTACAAATGTGATTTAATAGGATTTTTTTTTACAGTTAAATTTTGTATGAAATCTAAGTTATACCAGTGACAGAATCCAGCCATTCTGGGGCTCACATTTGTTTCTTACTATGTACTTTTCTCTCTTGATTTCCTTGCCTTTCTCCATTCTTTCCTGATTCTTGCCAGAAATCAGTTTTTGCCTTGAGGCATGCAATTTCCTTCTATAGATTTCTATATTTACAGATGAGTTATTTAAATAGATCAATCATTTTTATACTTCAGACATACATTAAAATTAAGAAGTACCTCAAAAAATGTAAGGGCTGTAGTTTTATCCATTCAAGTATTATTTTTCTTCCCTTAGTTTCCATCTTGAGAAAAGACTGGGAGCCATTAATAAGACTATAAGTAGTGCATAATAAGTTAAAAATGCTATATAAAGTGCATTGAAATTTCTCAGAATGACACATTTAAAATGTATTTGAAATCATTGCTGCTAAACTTTATTTTATAAAAGCTATGGAAATGGTTGTGATGGAAAATTCTTGCCTTATAAAAAAGTATAAATGAGTGCAGAAGATAACAACAAATCAAGATTTACTATACAGAACTTTGTTTGTCCCCCCTCTCAGAAATCATCCATATGAAAAAAAAAACAAAACCAAAACCAAAACCAAAAAAAAATAAGAGGAAAAAAAGCAGCAAAATATCAAGGGCTTCTTCATCTCAAAAAATATCTGTTCTTCTTAGCATTAGTATTAACTAGGAGGCATTAAATTTATATTTTGTTAAAACCACTATTTTATTTAACTCAATTAAGAGAATAACTCTTAAACACCTGACCCCAAAATTCAAGTTTTAAAATCCTTTATTCTGAACAATAGGAAAGAAATATTACAACAACACCTACTTCCTGTTATAATCATGCTTAGAAGTTCAGGCCTCAGTTGATCCCAAATTGTATGTGAAGCCTGGGCAATCATTTCCAGGCTAAGAAAAATACAACTATTAAAAGGGAGGAGATTTTTAGTGCAGATTCTTTGAAGTGTTATAGCTCTGGCAAACATCTTTAAAACCAAAGCCTAACTAATGTTCAGTACCAAGGTCCTCATTCTTACTCAGCACTCTCCTACTAAAGGTACTAAAGGTACAAGCATTCATTACAAACCTGCCCCCACCCTCCCTTATCTCCACCCTCCACCACAGAAACCTCAAATCTACCTTGAAGACATCAGATCAGAGTGGCGTGCAGGGGGAAGTTCAGATGGAAATACCTCAAACAGTTAGCACAGAAGAGGCAGTAAAGCAATGAACAAAGAAACTTAAACTGTGACCAAAGGAAAAAACCCACAAACCAAACCAAAACAAACCCCTGAACTTTCTGAAATCCCTTGAATTGTTGCCTTAAGCTAACACACTGAGATGCTGCCTGCTCATTGCTCTTGTCTACAGTTTCAGATAAAGTGCACTGATTTATGATTTTTGTTATAAAGATGCATGCAACTGCAGAGTAGACTTGTGTTATCGCTGTCTCCTGGGAGCCCCTAAGAAAATGAGTTATGTATCTCAAGAGACTGTCAGACTGAGTTAAAATTAAAATAATTAAATAAGATGAGGTGGGAAAGTTCCACCAGCATTGCTGGAAATCATCACAGCAGAGTAGTTACTGCTTAGTGTGGCAGCAAGACTATAATGAATTCCCAGGAAACCAACAGGAGCACAGTGATGCAAAATGCGTATGCTTCATCATCATGAGGACATGCATCCTTCATACTGGGGACTTCTCCTGAATCTCAGAGTCCCCTATCTCCCATAATCAAATTGACCCATATTTGAATTCATCTGAATGACTGAGTTTTGTAAATGCACATTCATCACAGTTCAACACATATTTTGTCACATCCCTTGGGGACCCTTTGCAGTTCCATGGTGACAGAGTGACAAAGTTATAGAACTTGTAAGAAATTGCACTGCTCATATACTTTCTGACTTCTCCCTCTGCACTCTGCCCTCTAAACCTCCTCCCCATCAGAACAAATTATTTGATTATCAAAATCTGAACAGCTTCAAAACCATGTCATTATTATATATAAATAATTAGGCAGGAAAATCTTACATTCGGTGTTGCCTGTGCTTATTGTTTATTCCCAATGCTATATCCTTCATAGAATCAACCAGATTGGAAAAGACCTCCGAGATCATCAAGTCCGACTCTTGATCCAGCACTGCCACGGTTACTAGACCATGGCACTAAGTGCCGCATCCAATCTCATCTCAAAAACCTCCAGGGACAATGAATCTACTACTTCCCTGGGCAGTCCATTCCAATGTCTGATTACCCTCTCTGTAAAAAATTTTTTCTTAATATCCAACCTAAACCTCCCCTGGCAGAGCTTAAGACCATACCCTCTTGTCCTACTACTGGTTTCCCGGCAGAAGAGACCAACGCCCACCTGGCTACAGCCCCCTTTCAGGTAGCTGGAGACAGTGATGAGGTCTCCCAGCACTGCAAAAACAATGGTGTATTGACCTGGAGACCAAAGATAGAATAATGGACTACTGTCAGAAAGAAAAAACTGGATGTGGTTTTTTGTTATATCCTTCGAATAAGAGTTACATAGATTGCCAAAAGAGAATATACAGTACTCCTGATGACTTCAGGTAACTGGCTGAAAAAAAGTGGCCTTCATCTAGGTAGATGAAGGGAAATAGTTCCTCTATAGTTGATCTCTAGTCTCTATTCCCAAGGCCAGTAGAGCTGAGCTAGGGACATGATAAACTGAAGCACCAAGTTTTTCTCAGCCTGTATAATAGTCCGTGCTTTCTAACATACAATGTCTTCTGCTCATGCTAGTCAATTTGACAGAAGTAGTGGCAAAACTGTTTTGGAAAGCATTTAAAACTGTGTTACATGTTGTTTTGCCCCTTTGTTTTAGTTAGTTGTACCTATGTGTATGAAATAGAAAACTAGAAAAAAAGCAATTAATGAAATGAAAATTCTGTAAATAATTTAATAGCAATTTCAAGAATCACAAATGTTTTGACAATATAGTTCTAAATTGACAAAATTACAAATGAAAAACTGGACTACTTTTTTAATTTCAATAGCATAAGGAAATTTCCTTTATTGGTGAGATAACTCAATGAGATATTGAACTAAATTATCGCTAAATTTATTTGTAGGTATATTACTTTTCTGAAAGCTAGTCTTTATCACCCTGAAACTTGATCAGGGTGATCAAGAAAAAAACAGAGAGAAAAGAGCATTTGATATCCCTCTCCTCAACTCTTAAAGCCAGCAAATCTAGTTGATGGCTGTACAGTGTCAAGGGTTGTTATTTTTTGTACCTCTTTCACATTTAAATACAGTTTTTTGGTAAAGACCACTTCTAATCACCTAAACCCAAAAAGTATCTACGCTAATAGATACTGACTGTTACTTCACCTAGGAAATTATTTTATATAAACTGCCTTTTACAAAATAAATAGAAATAAGAACAACAACAGCAACAATGAAACTCTCCATGAAAAATAAAGGTTAT